ATATTTCCAATGGCATTTTTTACTTTATTGACTGAAAATCTCAATGAGGGTATTGAAGTGAGAGCTGAATGTAACCACAAATGTCCATCTCATGCTTTGCCAACTGTCACTATAATGTGCCAAGAGCTACTTACCTGGCATGCTTGCAGGAAAAGGGCCTTGGCAAAGGAAAACAGCACAATCTATAGCAAGTTATGTGACTTCTCTGCAAGCCTCATTCTGTCTTTGAAGGAAATCTAGGAAGCTGCTTCAAGGCTCCTTCCCTCTGATATGGATAACTCGCATCCCCAGAAGTGGGGGATGGAAAAACAATGTCTCAGAAAAGTAAGTCTCTTAAGTAGTTTGATTTTGTTTTTGCTGGTTTTCATATTTAGAGGGAAATTAGGATGTATTTAAGACCTGAGCATTTCTTTTTTCCATTTTAAAGTAATTTTTAACTGGGTTTGCCTGTTTAAACAACACAGTCTGAAGGTGGGTATTAAGAGTACTGGAATTTATCAAGCTTAAACAAGACAGTTTCCTCCAGAACTGATCGCCTATAGATTAGGCAAACTGACCAGGTGAGGCAAAGTGAGCCCACTTAAATAAACAAACTCCCACATGACATGCTCTAATGTGAACACTGGGATAATGGGTGACTCCATGGTTTTTATTGCTGTGTGCCCTGTGGGGGGACATTCAGTGTGAAATATGGAGAGGACTTTTGTGGCTTCCATTAGAACTATTCCTGAAGCTAAATCCCTCCATCTCTCTGAGGAGTCATTCCTCACTGATGCTCTGTATGAGACAGTCATGAGTCACAGATGAAAAAGGTGATAACCTTGGTTGCCTAAAGCTCTGTACATACCATTAATATCCAGTTGCTAAGGGGTGAAAATGCATTTATTGAGTGGGGTGAGATGCATTTCCCATAGCCAAAAGGTGAAAAGTTGATAAAATTCCTTTCATGCAGTGAAATCTCCTCATTGCTTGGATTTTAGAGACTCTAATAAAGAATATGTAAGAGTATTTAATTTACTTGGTCTTTGGTTGGTCCTGTACTTCAAGCCATTTCAAACATGTAAGCTCAACTTATTTTTAAACAGCTTTCTTACTACATCTATATAAAAAGATAATCAGGAAAGCTCACAACGAGTGTGAGTGTTGCACACACTCAGCACACATGAGCACAAGCTCTGTCTGTAAAGGTATTATCCCCACAGTGCCATCACCATGAGTTTACTCACACCATCACAGTGACTGTGGAACAAATTGGCAAATGTTGGATTTACAGGCTTTCTAGTACTTCTTTCAAAGCCATGTTGACTATGGTGGTAGTCGGTCTGTGGCACGGAGATAGTTCTTATATTCTGTCCTGGCTGAATTTGTTCAAGTTTGCTAATTTGGAGGGATTAGAATTCTGTGGTTTTGAGTTGTTACTAGATCACCTGGATCATCTTTCTCGGATGACTAAGTTTCTTATAAACTAATGTTTGCTATCTCTGGTAACACAGACTATGAACCATTAACTTCTAGCACTGCTACAAATATCTGTACATGTTAGAAATAGGCTCTAAAATACAAACCTCTAATATCCTGAAACTGCTGAGTTCATACCTGTTGTGTTTTGGTTTTATATTTCCCTTCTACACCTCATGTAAAATCAATCTGACAGATGCTAACACAGATCTGAGACTCATTAGAAAGTCATTAATTTTCCTAAAGGGATGTTCATGGATAGCAGCACTGTATATTTTGGGCTGTCAAGACAAATTGACCCAATGGCTACTCTGGAACCACCCTGCAACCACAGCAGGTTAATGACAAAATTCCATGCATGGTACCCCTCTAACATAAAATCTAATGCAAGAAAGTGGTTAGTGAAAGTGTCTACAGTGAGGATCAAATTGAGTCTCAAATGAAATTTGTGATTTAGATATCAGAGCAATTGTTAATATCCCAAGGCATTTGTCATGTCTTGGTTTACCAGTTAAAGGTTTTATATAATAGTATTTTGTGTAAATAATGTCATTGGATTTTCAGCTGGAGAGTTGGGAGTGGGCAGTCCTGAACAGGTAGCTCTCCCTCAGCCAGAGACATGGGTACTCTGACCCTTTGTTTCATCAGCCTTCCCCTTAATTCCTCTTCCATTCATTTTGTGGCTTAAAGCCCAACTGTAAAATCTAACACCTGGTCTGAGTGCTGGAATGCTGGTGCCTCTCACAGGCTGTGCTAGCACAAGGTGGATAAGGAAGCTAATGCCTTGGTGATTCTCCTGGCAGCACACTCTGGTTTTCACTCACTGAATTCTTTCACTTCAGAGATGTTTTAAGAGTTATTTCCCAATGCAGTTGCTTTCCTCACTGCTCTTCATTTCTGTTCTGTGGTTGCTACAGCTGTGTTGGTAAGCTTTTGGGCATGCTAGTTTGGTTTTAAATTACATCTTGAACTTCATGAATTAGAAGGAGGAATCACATGAATTTGGCCAGTGCTACATTTCAGTGAACCTATTCTTCCAAACATTATTGCATGCAACAAGATGGATCCCAGGGAGTTAATGTTTTAAGTGCACAAGGTCAAGCAAGTCTTCATGGCTTCAAGGCCATGCCTGACTGAGTTTTCCTGCTGTTAGCACCTATCAGTCCAAGTAATCTCAATGCTCTACTAATTAAAAAAATACACTTCAGTGTTATGCCATGGAGGAGAGTATAAAGGTAGCTATAATTTTCCAGGCTCTTACATAATGCAGTAGTTCATAAAATGCCTCTCACCCAGTGCTTTCTGAACAGAAATATACAATGGACTATATAATGCATTAATAGCGAGTTTAGAAGTCTTTATGTAGCTTTGCTTTCTGCTAAGCTCTGCTTTCCCTGAAGTGTTCTTCAAGTTGTGTTGCTAAGATATAAAACTTACTAAGTTTTCATGATTGCCAAAGCTACTTCTACAACAGTTAACTATGGTAGCAGTGAGAAAAAAGCAAAACCATTAACAATAATCTCTACTTTTGAGCTGTGATGCAGAGCTGTAATAAATGGGATGAGCAGTGTTTCCTTGTGTGTGCAGAGTCAGATCTTGGCCCCTCAGGGGTGCAGTCTGCTCAGCCCAGAAGGGAATCTTGAGGAGGCAGTGGCAGGACACCTTCTTTCTCTCTCTGATCTTAGCACTGGCGTCCCAGAATAGTTCCTTAGAATGAGGACACAAGAGAGTTAACTTGTGCCAGGCTTGTTATCGAGGCAACTACAAAATTTACAGGAAAGCACAGATAACCTAGTGCTATCCTGTATCATTCATGTGTCTCCTCCCAAATAGAACTCCATAGAGGTGGAACAATCCTTCTTTGGGCCTGTTTCAAACTGGAAATGGAAGCAACCTTTGGTAGCATCTTCAGTGATCCGTGTGCTGAAGAATTCTGCTCTCAGAGCTCGTTCACAGGAGGCTGAGTCTGCTCAGCAGCCTGGCCAGCTGCCCACTCACACTTGCCTGGCTGTCAGCTGGCTGGTTTTTATTAGTAAAGACGTGTGGGTGTGGGTCCAAAACCCAGGCTAAATTTTTAAGTGGATTTATATGAAGTTCTACAAATTTAGATGCCAGGCTCAGAATAATTTTTCACATGTGAGCTTTCTGCTAAAATATTTACACCATCCCTAAAAGCTCATTTATTATGTAGTATGACTTGGTAGTACATAAAGGGTTGCTTGTAGAACGTGCATAGAATCAAAAAGGCAAAGATTATGTATCGTGTGTTCACACTACTGACTCACTCCATATCACAAATGTACACAAGCAATCAGAAAAGGGCTGATCTTAGAGTGGTTTAACTCGTAACGGTCTAATTAAAAGGAAGAAAAAGAAAGAAGGGGGCATGGCTGTTCATTGTCTGCTGTCGGTAAGAGACAGCACGACAAAACCTTGAAGTGATGTCCTGCTTAAAATGATTCCTGTTGGGTGTGTTGGAGGGAGTTACTGAATTCCTTCATTTATTGACCACAAGGTGCTGGAGGCACATAGAGGAGATGCTGATGGCCTAAAGTGCAACTCTTGTGGCTCGTGATGGCTGTTCCTGCATCCTGTGAATGCAGGCACACAAATGTAGCTGCTGCATAATTTCTGGAATCACTGTCTTTGGAAAGAGCCTCTTCTAGTGATGGGATGTCCCCAGGCAATTACAACTGTCTGATATTTGAAGGATGCTCTTCTCTAAAGTTGCTACTACAGCCCAGGCACCTATGGCTCTCCAGAGCAGGTTTGGGTTAAACAGCTAAAATGGTAATTGTCCTCCTTTGTCTAACACTGACATGCTGAGCAGTTTGCTCCCTGTCCTAAAGGAGGAGGTTAAGTACAATTACTAAGCATGTCAGAGAGGTATGTTTTCTTCAGTTCTGCTTTCTGCTGGGAGACTGGGGACACAGCCTCAAGCCTGACTGAGCTCAGAAGCATTTGGACAGTGCTCTCAGGCACATGGTGGGATTGCTGGGGATGTCCTATGCAGGACCAAGAGTTGGACTTGATGGTCCTTGTGAGTCCCTTCCAACTCTGAAGATTCTGTGATTCTGTGAAAGTGAGACTTGATGAAAAATACAGAAAGGTTTAAAGGTTTCTGGCACTTTTTTTCCCCCTTTTGTTTTTCTGTTTCCTCTGATCTGAGCACTCTCAAGGTCAGTAATAAATGTAACCTCAAAGCTCTTGGGAAAAGTATGCATTTTTCTCCTGGAAAACCTTTGACTTGTAAAATAATTTCTTTCAAAGATGTTCATAAGTAATTCTACTTGCGTGTTTCATTAGTATGCCATCAATATGATAAATTTTAATGTGAATGAGAGCTGGCTGTACTAATGTCTTTATTTAGTAAAGATAAATTCTGCTAAGGAAAACTGGAACTTACACTCAAACTAAACAAAGACTGTCTGTGTTTGTGTGACCTGAATTTTTGCAGTAGGCACAGGTCTAGCAGTTTTATTGTCTTTACCAGCTTTGCAAGGGTAGGACTGTAACACTCAGCATCTCAGAGAAACACTTACCGTGGAGGTGGATCAGGATACATGATGTTGACCTGAGATAGTATATCCAGATAGGAACCAAAATCACAAGCTGGGGGAAACTCCTCCGTGCAGGTGGATCTCAGCTCTCCAGAAGAGCCACCATGAGAGAAGCCATCTGGAGCTGGAAAACAAGCAATTAGTATCTGCTGCTCTTTTCCTCCCTGGTGGATTCTCTGTCACTGTTTATAACACTGCCATAAATCTAAAAACAAACCCTATCTGAGGCAGAGGAATTGCAGGTATTGTGGAACAATCAGATTTCACAGGACATTTCTATTCCTTTAAGAGCAAGTTAGCATCCTCTGTAGATGAACTGTGGTGCTTCAGGCTATGGCACAGGGGCTATACATTTAGTGCTGCCCTACAAGGTAGATGCAGGTGTCTAAAGCTTTTCTTGTGCCTCAAAGGCTGAAAAGGAGTGTGGCTTCCACTGTGTGCAGCTTCAGTTCCCAGGAGTTGCACCTGTGGAAACCTTGCCAGTTCTGTGAGGGTTTTAAAAGGAGGTGTAGGCGTCTGATTGTAGATATGTACCTTGAGAAAACTATTCTCAATAGAAACTGATAAAAATGGGAAAAACTGGGAAATAGTAGAGAAAATCATCCTGCTGCCTGCACCAAGGCTTTGTTCATGCTTCCGCTAAGAGCTTCGCAGCTCCACAAATACCAAGACGTTAGTGCTGTTTTCTGTCTTAGAGGATAGTTAGCTAATGCTCAATGTTCCAGGGAAAATTTCCCCAAGAATGTCCCAAACTGTGGAAATGGAGCAATCTCTGCTCCCCTGCCATTGTATTCCAAAGAAAGTGATCCCTCCTTGTCACTCGATGCATTGTCACTCGATGATTTAAAATCAGTGCCTGAGAGGAGGACCAGCTTTGGAGGTGAAGTTGTGCCTCAGCAGAGGATGAAGGGCAGGACTCACCTGAACTGCCTATTCCTCTTGCTGGCAATTTTCACCTCTGCCCATGTATTCTCAAGGAATTTAGCAGGACTAACCCAGTCTATCATGCACTGTGCTTTCCTCCTGCTTGGCAAGTGAAGGAAGCTGCTCCCATGCTGCCCAGTGGAAGCACGTGGAGGTTTTAGGATGGTGTGTTAATGTAGCATTTTCACTTGGGTAGAGTGGCACCATTTAGTTTAAGATTATTCTTTTGAATAACTCTGAAAATATGCCTTGCATTTTCCATTTTTCTAGCACTGTTATTTCTAACAAGCAGTTTGGAAATTGTCCTTTGTGTTCCCACCTGGGGTCAGGGTTTTCAAGAAGCTGAAATGACCAGAGCAGTAGATTTGAATGTAGTGATTGAACCTTTTATCATGACAAATTATTGCTATTCATGGGTCAAACAGTAACTCCAATTTGGGTTTAACTATTTAATCCCCAATTTAGCTGCTGAAAATTAGGAATAATGGATGTTAGCCCTATAGTAGATACTAATTTTCTGGACTCTTGTTTTTTTCATTTTATCCTCTGTAAGTTGCCATGGGAGTTTGCGTTTTACTTCTTTTGGATTCTGCATTTTATTCCCAAAACATAGATGTTATTCACTTACCTGGATAAATGTTTCTGGAAAAGCCAGAAACTTTCTTGGCTCCAAGTAGGCAAACTGATCCTAGGAAATGTGTTTCCTTTAGACACAAAAATTCCTGGTCCAAATAATTAAATGAAGTCCAATTGACTTCAGTGGATACTTGATCTACCTCAGTGAAAACAAGGTTTAAGCCAATGCATTTTTATGTGACTCACTATGATTATCTTTTCCATAAAAAGAAAAAACCTCAACGACATCCAAACTATACTCTCATAACAAGCTGCAGGTATGGAAGTCTGGCCACAGAGGAAGTAGTCGTTGATGCTCCACCAGTCATAATTTGAATTTTTACTAGCTGAAGACTCACAAATTAACTTTTTGTAACTGTTTTTTCCTTAAATAGAAATAATCAGATCCTGTTGTTTCCTTCACAAAGTGATTTTTTACTTCTGGTCAGCAAACCCCAAATGGGCCAAAATATAACTCTACAATTAACTCCTTGAGATTCCCAAATTCCCTTAAAGTATTTCTTTTTTCTTTTCAATTTTTTTTTTTTTTTTCAGGGAGTGGGTAGGGAGATAGGAATTGGCACCTTTTTGATGCTCTAATGATGATGCTAATGGTAATGACACTGATGTCATCAATTAGGTTAATACTGAAGATGCCAGTTCTATTGACAGTGATGCCATCAGTGACATCATTAATGATGATGCCAGTTTTAATGACATTGATGTCATCAGTGACATCATTAATGGTGATGCCAGTTGCGATGACATTTCAGTGCCCTGTTGTTCTGTTCACACCCAGGTATTGACTTCTGTGGTCAGAGGAACAGGAATTGCCCAGTCCTTGCCATAGGCTAGTGCACACTGTTCTGGCTTTCCAACAGATAAAAGTGACATCACATGCTGCACCAAGGCGATAAGGGGATATGAAAATGCAATGGAGAAGAAATCTTATACTGTATCAAGGGCAAATAAGCTGTTTAAGAACTGCTGTAGGCACTGGCCTGGGTTACATTAGCCATTAGCTATGGGGTTGTACCATGTGAATTCAGTCCCAGCACAAAGATGCTATTACACTGCAAAGCTGCCTGTGACCTACTTACCCTATTTTTCAGTTTTATTTTTTGATCCCTTGCACAGTGGCCAGATGCTTTCTGTTGCCCATAGCACCAGATTATTGCTGAAGTTAGGCATTATGTTGCTGTAAGTAGCTGTCTTACCATAAACAGCATCTCTCCTCAGCTGTGGGTGTCTGAGCCGCCCGTCCTTCCGCAGGCTGCCCACGATGATGGTAGCGCAGGACAGAAACAGCACCAGGCCGATCACCACTCCAGCCACCAGCAGGGGGGAAACAAGCAAATTGGTGTCATTCCCGTTCTCACCGTAGCTGGGGAATTCACTGCTTGGGCTGCTCTGGTTTAAGGGAACTGTGGTGCAGCAGAGAGAGAGAATGTGTCAGTGGTGAAGAGAGATTCATAGAAAGTGGTTATACAGAAGCCCAAACTAAAGGCTTTCACAGCCCTAAGGCAGTCTGAGACAGATTAGTTTCACAATTTCATAGCATGTTAAGGGTTGGAATGGAGCTTAGAGATCATCCAGCCCCAACTCCCTGCCCTGGGCAGAGACACCTCCCACCAGAGCAGGTGGCCTGGAATGAACACTGCCAGGGTTGGGGCAGCCACAGCCTCCCTGGGCAACCTGTGCCAGTGCCTCAGCACCCTCACAGGGAAAACTTTCTTCCTGGTATCTAGTCTAAATTTCCCTCTTTCAGTTTCTCCCCATTACTCCTTGTCCTGTCACTGCAGTTCCTGATGCAGAGTCCCTCTGCAGCTTCCTCAGAGCCCCTTCAGATCCTTCAGAAGGTGCTGTGAGGTCCCTACACAACCTTCTCTTCTCCAGGCTGAACAGCCCCAACTTTCAAATATACAAAATCATGCTCTTATGGAAACCTATTTATTAGACCAATTTCTGGAGCTGTTTGTAACTGACCCTGGGGGTGTCACTCAGCAATCATTTCCCTGTCATTGGGGAATATCCTGCTCGAACCAATGACGTGTGTTCCATAATTTTGATGGCTCTTTCCTGGCAAGATTCTCTGTATCATGAATTGACTGATGCTGAAAGAACTGAAGTGCACAAGAAGGAATGCAAAAATGCAAACATTTGAGCTCCAAGCAGAACAGAGGAGTTGCAAACTGGTACTAGGTGTGAAAAGACACCAAGGTTTTACAGAGAAAGTTTTGGGCAAGAGCGAACCAGAGTCAAATGCTTTTGGAGCTCAGGGCAGGCTCTGGTTTGTGAGAGGTGTCAGCATCCCAAGAAACCAATTCGCAGCAGGGGGTGGGGGGAGAGGAGACTGATTCAGAGTGGGATTGCTTGTATGCAGTGCCTTCCTCTGGTCAAAAAAACCTAAATCTGTAAATGTATTATTTAGGTTCGATAATAAATCTCCTTAAGGGAGAATAACTCCAGTAATTTATTCCCGAGTCAAATATCCTTGTGAGACAAGCTACAGAGAGAGTATCAAAAGTTAAACAGTAAGTTTCCTCTAGAGAATCAACCAGTAGCATATGATTATATGTGTGAATTATTTGCTCAGAGATGTATTTATGGGGGTTTGCACTGCTAAGGGAGGAGAGGTCAACGGTAGAAGTTACAGGAAAAAGGATTCAGGATTTAAGCAGATAGAATTCTGCCTCCACTCTCCCCTCCAAATTAAAAATCTGCCATTAGCTGCTCAGGATTGGTAAACCAGAGTTTTACTGTTGCAGTAGATTCCCGGAGATGCACGTACACCGTGTGCTTTAGGAACTGCAAGTGTTTTTTACATGGAGAGATGTTAGCAGACACTTTTCAGCAATGTTTTCCCTGCTCTTTTCCTTTGGGAGGTACTGCTTAGTGTCTTGCAGTTAGAATAAGCTTCAAAGGAAGAGAATGGCTTCAAGCCAATGTATGTTATAATTGGCTGATGCTTGAGATTGAGAGAACCGACTAGAAATATAGTAAAAAGTGGAATTAGCATGTAGTGGGGTTTCTGTTCATTTTCTGGAAGCACTTGACTGTTGGCTGAGGATCTTTATAAGCAATTAAGACAGACAGCCAAGAACTGTGCTGAGCTTTTACCAAGTATTCTATGCCAAGAAAAAAACCTGTTTTTTTTCTGAAAATTAAACTGATGCTGCAACATTAAATCAAAAGGTTATGGACAACTGTCCTACTTCAAACTCCTGGTGCAGAGAGGTTTTGGGTATGGGCTGTGTTCAAGGGGTAGATTCTGCTGATCTTATGGTCCTTCTGCTGTAACTAAACTTCCTCAAAATTTACAAAATTCCAATCAAGCTTCTCATTTGTACATTTTTTTTAGCTCTCTCTGTTGGTAATGTGTCCAACAAGTGTGCACTCTCACTGGCTTTCCATAGCCTTGTTCAGATTGTGGTAAATTCTGCTTTTGAAAGGTACAAATCTCACAGCAGTGACAGTTTAAATCACAATTGCAGGGAATTGACACCTGAACTGAAAGTACTGGCAGGTAATTGTTTGGTAGCAGAAGAATCAACTTAGTTGCCAGCATGATGAGAACATGAGCCTGGGGACAAATTCTAAATGATCCTTCTAACAGGAAGGGACTGTCTAACATTATTTGGGAGATTCCTGTGGTGCCACCCAGTGTGAGCACTAATATTTGGACCTATTTTGCTTTATAGGAGTTTTAACAGCTTCTTCATGTAGAAAGGACTCTCTCTTGTACTCTCCTCTGGTACTTGAGGTGGTGTGGTTTATTTCAAGACAGCCCATTTATCTAGCACATTCTCAGGGCTTCCTTAGCTGTCCCAAATCTCATCTATTTTATCTCTTGTTTTTCACCACCATGAATCTTTCTGGGTTCTTTATGCTTTTAATCTAATTGAACCCAGACTCTTGTAAAGACAAGATGTATTGCAATACTGCTCTTATTAGAAGCAATGAATAAGTCCCCTTAGCCTAGTTTCTAACACAATATGTACTTGATAATTTCTCTTACAGCACTGTTTTCAGTTTGACACTGTGAGACTAGTCCTTCAGACTTTACAGACCAACTTACTACTATGGGAATTGCTCAGGTGACTGACAACTACAGAAGGAGATGCTGTGTTGATATAAATTCTTTGGGTTTAAATTTTTTTGGGGCAGAAGATGTTTATATTACCTTTGGCAAAAGAACATCACAATTTTTTTCCTCTTGCCCAAATACATCTTCTTTTGCTGAACTGTACATTTCTGTATACAAAAATGCTATGGTTTTTCATTCAGAACAGAAGCATCTGAGAATGTATGTGGAGGCCATAAATGTAACATCAATAACAGAGCTAACCTTTCTGTTTTGAGGTAGCTTGTAATTTTTTCCATAAAACTGAAAATTATAAACAATACGTGCATGAATGTGAATACTTTATATCTAATCCTCTAAATGTGAATTACATTACCCACTGCTTTCACCCAGTGATGGGAGCTGTGTAACTAACTGGACACAGCACAAACGGAACATGGCTGAGCGAGAGCACATGGGAAATTGCCTACACTGTCCATTCATTCTTAGACAATAAATGGTCAATCTGAAAAATTCCTTAAATATCACATTGTATTATTTTACTCAATGCTTCTGCATCTCGACACCAGTTGTGAAGTAACTCCATGTAACTAAAGGAGGTATAGTACAACTTCATGTGTGCTTTCTCGTTCCTGTTAGCCTGTCTTTGAAGAGACACTTGTTATCCCTTTCTAACTTGGCAGCAAGTAGTGTGGAAGTTTTGGCTGGGTCAGATCCTGGCAGAGTGAAATGTCTTGGTGTGCAGATGTGTCTTGGGAGCTTGGTTCACCCAAGGTACAGCCCTTTATTAGGTGTGGATTCTCTCTTCTTCACTGGCTTTTACCTAGTAGTGTCCCAGATGGGAAAGAAGGGAAACACCTGTATGTAAAAGAGAATCTCTTCGACCCATACTGAAACAGCTGAGGGTGGTGGTGTGTTGTTTTGTTTCCTATTTTTTCTGAAGACACGTCAGCTCTAGTGAGGCTGCAATGGTTTCTGTAATTGATAGGGTTTAGAGATGATTTTTAGCCTGGATCCTACTCAGATAACCAAATCTCTTCTCCTGGTTTACAATCTATCATCTTAATAAAGACGATAATTCATGTTATCACTGGTGGAGAGGATGTTTCCCAAACCAAAATTTGCATGAACAGCTCCTGAAGTGCTGATGTGTTGGACTGGAAGGATTTTGGGTGCAGAATTATTCACTTCTTCATCCCTGCCAGCCTCGGATATGCCTTGCCTGAGGACAGGACGGGCTTAGTGATGACTTGCTGGACTAGAGCTGAAACACACTGACAGAACATGTGCATTACATGGACACCCTGGGTTAGTACAAGCTGTTTGGGAATGGTGATCTAGCACCCCCTGTTACATTGCAATACACTAGATTAACAAAGTGTGCAGGGCTGGAAAGGAGTAGGAGGAAGCTCAGGATAGTGCACAGTGTCCTTTGGTTTTTAAATCATCACAACAAAGTGCATCAAACACCAAAGCAATTTAAAGCATGTTTTTGCCATCCTTCACTTTTCAATCCCTGGCTGGGACAGTGTTGGAACATGCAGTGTCTTTATCAAGGGGAGGAGACTGACAGAGCAGGAAGGAGCTGAGAGCTCCCAGTGATACCCTAAATTAGTGGAGTTAATGAAGATTTTGATTCTATCTTTATGAACAGTTCCTGTTCAAAGATGATTTAGTCAGGCAAAGAGTGACCAATTGGATCCTGCACTTGCTGCTGCCCTGGGAAATAAGCCTCTGGCTGCAGCTGCTGTCAGGCTGCTATCACACTGCTTATTTCTGTAGCTCCTAGGCAGGAGGAGGGTAGGTGCAGTACAAAAACAAGCTGAAAAAGGCTTTGGATCACAGGTGCTGGCTTTGTACAGAGCAGCACTGTAGCAAGGAAGAGAGGGATATTACTCAAGTCAGGTAAGGCAAAGGCCCCACTAGGAGCTAAATCTTAAAATTAAATAAAAATAGATGTTTCTATTGGATTCAAAGTTGTTCCAGCAGATCCTGAGGAAGGTTGAAACCTCACTTAGGCTAGATAAATGCCAGGATGTCATCTGCTTATGGGAGCTAAAAGGGAGTGATGATGGTGCTAAGAACAGGGAAGGCTATTGGTCCTTATGTATTTATCTTACTCTCTCGTAGCAAAGTTGAGCAAATGAGCAGATGACTCCAATAGCCTGGGAAATGTCCTCTCTATAAAGCAGCTTTATAACAGCCAGACAAACAGTATGGGGAAAGGAACCTTCAGTTCAGGAGGCCCAGGAGCATGTTTCGTTCTCTCACACTGCTCTCACAAGCAGTTCTCCTGTTCTGTAGGCTTTTCTGGTTTCCACACAGAAAATTAAACTGCCTTGTA